GCAGGTCAATTCAGTAACTAACAAAAATAAACAAACTTGTATTCCTTAATTTTAAATCTATCTTCATAAATATTCTCAGAGGACATTTCTTTCATGAAGGACATTTCTTTCATGAATAAAGACACTTCCTCTATCCTTGTTTTCCTTAACTGTCAGAGCATTTCATCCTTTTTTTTTGCTTCAGAGGAAGTAGCCTACATGAAAATTCACCACGGCTTACTTTGAAGTTGATTTTAAAAAGCAGTCTAATCCTCAAGTTTTCCTTACTAATGGGTAATAAACCATTAGCTTAAAAAAAAAAAGACATTCCAAGCGAAAGAAAAGAAAAAAAAGAAAAGAAAAAAAGGACAAATGAAATGAGAAAGGTAAAAAAATCCAGGATACAAATGCAAAGCTCCCAACCTATTTAATGTATAAAAGCAAGTTCATAGGTGGGTTTTAAAGATTTAACAAAATGACCAGAGAAGTGTATTCCAAATAATATAGAAAATTTGCCTTCCCATAGACTGCCCTACATCAGGCAGTTTAGCACACTTTGAAATATACACAAAAATTATATATATATATCCATTCTCCCATGCATACAGAACATATAACAGATAAGGTAATCAGCTGTAAAAACAGATACATGCTGGTAAAAAAAAATTAAGGTCTCATCCTTGCTGCATGTTGAATTGACATTATAAATATAAAAACAAAGACTTTAACATATTCTCAGAAAGTCTGTATACAGATGAATTAGGCAAGAATATTGCGTACAATATTGCAATTAAATCTTTCTCAGCAATTTGGTAAAAGACACTGCATATTTATAAGTGTAAAACAGCAGCAATTATTTCTGAACAGAAGTAAAATTTACATTTTCTTGTTTCTCACTAAACAGGCAGAATCACATCTTACAACTTAAAAGAAGGGACAGCCTATAAACCACACAGCCTTGACTTCAAGTATAAAAGTGCACAATTACATCATATTAAAGGCTATACACAAAGTCATAAAATTAGACAAGAGGTTCTATAGGAAAAAAAATGAAATTCACATTTTGCAAAGGAAAAGGATAATACATCATGAAAACATTTAATTATAGGAGGAAGACAATGGCAGGAACAACTGTTTAACCACTGTTACACAGTGAAAATTATGCATGAAAAGATCTTCTTCTGTGTTCCCCTGCTACAGGGTAGGAGGTTATTAACTGCAAATTTTTCAGTATACAGTGCAGTTCATTTTTATTGTCTATTTATTTTATTGACAAAGAATGTAGAATTATCCCTTGCCTGACAGGCAGCCAGGTGTCATTTTTGAAGGTAGATCATTATAAATAAAATCACTTTGGGACATTTTGAGAAAGGAATCCTCATACAAAAAAGTTCCATTTCTGCTTTCCCTCCAAAAGAAAATTGCTTAAAATTATCTTTCACAGCAAACAGAATCAAGAGGCAGACTTACCCAGTCTGCTACTTGTATGATTTAAAAATTTTCTTTTCTGCTGGTTCATCACAAATACTTTTACTTTCAAGATGAAAAAGATGCTTTAGGAATCTTACCTTTTTTGACAGTATCACTGTAGTATAATAATGAATAGAAAAAAAGATGGTGGAGGTTGGAGTAATAAATAATGGTCAGTTTTCATCTTTCAGTTGATTAAATGTGTCACGGCGTGGTGGAATCATTCATGTGCTCGTCAATTTTTGGGAATGTGGAGTTATTCAGATCAATTACCCATTTCGCCATCTGGCGTTTAGGGCAGCAACAAAGGATCTCCAGCTCTGTCTGTTTTGGGCCATCTTGGTCAGCGTTCCCCACGAATGCTTCCAGGACTTCATTTCAGACTCTAATGTACAACTCCAGGTCACTTTGGGTCTGCCCCTTTTGCGACGTCCCTCGGGTGTCCAGTGGAGGGCAGTCATCACAATAGAGTCTTGTTCTCTTCTCAGAACATGTCCAATCCATCTCCATCTTCTCCTTTTTATTATGGTTGTCATGTCCTCTTGCCTACATTTACGTAATGTGGAGTTATTGGTATCATCCAAAAGCGTACTCATTTGCCTTGCTTTTAAGGAAAAATATACCCATCCATCTTGAACAGAAGAGATATTTACGATTGAAGGAGGTGGGGTCCTCTGGTTTCAGTGATAAAATAAGCAAGAAAATGGCCGTCAAATTTCGGTAACTTCAAAAGCTTATTAGTCTCTCAAAAACTGAAAAATTACATATTTAGTGCCTTTAATCGTTTTCAGTCAAATTCTCATAGAAATTTATTTTTGGTACGGAGATAAAAGTTTTGAGGCAAAAAACCCCAAAATTTGAACCCAAAATTTGCCAAACTGGCGGAAAAATGCCTGTTTCTTCCATTTTATTTTAATATTATGATGAGCGCCTGATTTCACCACGATGCGTCACATATTTTATAGGAGCAAATTTTAGGAGAAAAAAAAAGAAAATATTTGTAGGTTCTTCTTTTGCAGTTCCAAATAGCCTACTGTGTCAAACAATAATTTTCATCAAATTTGTGCATGATAGATTTCCTGGGTAACTATTCTCCCCTACCCTTGCATCTCCACAGAGGCTAAAAAAAACCCAAACAGCATATTAAAAACCCCCCCGAAGTATCACAAACTGACACTGTAAGTATTTTTGGACGGCAAATTACACATCTAGGTAAGTGCACCTGTTTGTAAGAAAAAAAGTAAACGTTATTAGTCCATGATACTGATATTCATCCTTGTACTTCAGTGTGTAGCCTAAGCAAAACAATATAAACCAACACAGATCACACAAATAATACATTTGTACAATGCTATATGGTAAGAAACATGTGCACATTTTCAAATCATTTGAAAGAGTAACTATTCCTTCAACAGGTAAGTGCAATAACGAGTGTATCAGAAAAATTAAAATGACCAAACAAAATGTACTACACAGCCTGGGAGAGATAAGAATATTACTGCTAAATATCTGGGGGTCTTTTTTGTGGGTTTTTATTGCACACTGTTTGAGGTCGCCATTTTCATGATTTATAAAGAATTTTGCAAATTCAAGATGTTTGCGAAATGCGTAAAGGTGTACTACTGCATTGGAAAACATGACACTAAGCGACGTAAATCACAAATTCAAAATGAGCAAAATACCCCCTAAAAAAAGGAGCCTGCACCCCCCCCCCCCAACCAAAAAAAACCCCTAACCAACCAGTATACAGAGGATAGGCATAAAAAAGCTACATGACTGGACAAATGATTGGATATTGTGGCAGCTGTCAAATATGATGCTGAAGACTAATGGTCTGGAATTTTTTAATATTTGCCTTCGCTGATGAGTATCCTAGTCTCCCAGCAGCACTTTCTTCATCAATACGAGCAACAAGGATACTCACATCAAAGTATACCTCTACACAAAAATCTGAGTTTTCATGAATCTAATCTGTATTTCAAAAGTTTACTTAACCGCAGTAAAAACAACCGAAATCCTCCTGTGTAGCAGATCTTCATCAGCACTAAATGATTCATACTTCAGCAATAGGTTTAATTTCTCATACAAGCTTAGACCTGGTGACGGCCATTAAAAAATATTTAAAAAATAGTAACTGGCCAGCCATAGAAATGACTAAAGGCTACATAATACGGTCAGAATTTCAAATATTGGAACACATGTAAGAAAATCTGTGCAGTAGGCCTACTATTATGCGATTCTCAGGTTCAAGAAACAGAAATCTATTAATCTTTCTGTATGATAAACTGAGGTGAATCAAACACAGAAAACATATTGGGCAGTAGGCAGACATTTCATTATGTAGACTTTTCTCCGAAAGCTTATGCACATTTTCTTTCATGGACATTTCTACTGCAGTTACTTCTGGCTTCTATAGCAATATTTGAGCATGCAACAAAAACAAATGGAACATGTTCATATTGTTGGTGTCGCAAGCAATCTACTCAGGTCCTTTTGGGTACTTTTTACACCAGAGACAAAAATCTAATTTTTGTTGTGTTGCTCCTATCTGGAATCAAGAAAAGTAAGAAAATTGTAAGCCTTGACCATAGCGTTAAACTGCATCTTGGTGATGCTGAAAGGCACATCTTTGACAGAGCTTTGGGAGGGTGTAAAAATAAAATATGCTCAGATGCAAGAAAAGACCAAGGAACTCAACAGCCTATCAAGGAGTGTTGGCCTATGTATACACCCGGATAAGTTGAAAGTAGTGAAGCTAGGAAAAGTTTCAAGCCCTGCTGTGACAGGGGAAGACACTCCCCTGGAAGAAGTGGACCCCTTTACCTACTTTGGAAGTGTTATCAATTGTAAAGGTGGAACTGAGGCAGATGTAAAAGCAAGAACCGCCAAGGCAAGGAGGGCATTCAAGCAATTATCAAATGTCTGGAAAGCAAGCAACATCTCACTGTGCACCAAGATTTGACTCTATAATTCAAATTTCAAATCTGTGCTCCTCTACGGCTGCAAAACTTGGAAGACAACAGAGACAGTGCTGAATAAAGTCCAGACTTTCATCAACAGATGTATGAGGAGTATCCTTAGAATTAAGAGGCAGGATAGAATTAGAAAAGAAGAGCTGTGGGAAAGGATAGGACAAAGGGATATAGAAGTAGAAATAGGACTAAGAAAGTGGCGATGGATGAGACACACCTTCAGAAAACCCAGCGGAAACATCACAAGACAGTCGCTGCAGTGGAACCTACAAGGAGCACGAGGCAGGGGTAGGCAATGGGAAACACGGAGGAGATGTGTGGAAAAGGACATGAGAGAGATGAAGCTAACTTGGAACGAGCTAGGAAGGATGGCCCAAGACAGAGATAAATGGAAGGAGCTTGTACGTGGATTATACCCTGCCAGGGGAGAAAGGCATTGATGATGAAAAATCAAATATTCTCATAATTTGGACTTGAGCGGATAGCTTACGACAGCAATGATATTCATACAAAAACTTTAAATAAAACAAAATAAAAACAAGTATAATAAAGCAAACCAAAGAAAGAAATCACAGAATAGGACTGAGGGACATTTTATTCCCCATAAGATACTATTTGTATCATCCCAGAGAAAAGCACAAGAACAAATTTCTTTTGTAAGTACACAGCATATTACAGTACCCGAAATTTGAGTTGCATTGGAATTCAACAAATCTTTAGTATAAACCAACTTTATATAAAAGCAGTTCTGCATGAAAACATAATGATAAAATTTGTGAAGAATAGCAAGCTTTTTTCCTCATTCACACTCCATTGCGTACCTAATGGCAGTACACTTTCATTGTATTGTGATGGATAGCATATGTCACAGCCTGTCACTTCGATATTAATTTATATTACTGAGCTATAGTTTCAAGCAGGTTGGCACAGAAATGGACAAGTTTTTCCACAAACAAAGACTATAGATCTATACTATAATGTCAGTGAAAAGAATTGAAAACAGCTGTTTACATCAATGCATTTATACATACTAAAAAGTGCAACACATTTCATAAGTTCATTAAATACATTTTCAGTCTGAGAAAAATGGGGTCAAGGCACACAGGGTTTATACCAACAACAGAATTCTCAAACAGTGAACCCAGAATTCATTAACAGTTGAAGGTACATACTAAACACACATAGACCTACAAAACATACTCATGAACCTAATAACCTCCATCTCATGATATGTGAGAAGTTTGCTTCAAAGTATGACTGAAATAATATAGTATAATAGTACACTATTCTGGATTCTACTATAAAACTCTATAGAAGCTTAAGTAGTTCTACGCTCTGTCACTAGTCCACACCAAAAAATGCAACATCATACGCACAACTGTTTAAATGAAACTTTGACATAATGTGCACCACTTCAACTTCTACAAGTAATGGAGGCAGAGAAAATCTGGCCCTAGAAAAAGCACTATTGTTTTAACAGACCCCAATGTGTTATAGGTGGATAAACTTGATAATACTGGAAAACATTTTAAAAAACCTTCGAGCAGTTGATATTTTAAAAGATAGAACAAGACTTTCTAAGATGTTAATAAAAGGAATACAGGTCTCATAAACATATGGCTTAATGAATAAATGCAAAGCAATAAAGGCACAGCAATCTGAAATTATGTAATACATGCTGGTAAAGAGAAGAAAGGGGGAGCACAGATATATATCACAAAAAGGAAACTTCTAATCAGTTCTCATAAGTAACGGTGAGTCCATTCTGGTCAACAACAGCTTCATACACCTCCGCCTCAAGACCCTGAAATCAAGCAGTTCGAATAAACATTTGTAATTGGCACAACTCCAATATTTAAGGAGGAATACATTACAATATTATAATTGTATCATCGTGGAATCAGGCGCTCTTCAATTTTAAGGTATATAAAGTTAAAGGTATCACCTTAAAGCTTGTTCATTTGTCTTGCTTTCGATTTAAAAAATTACTCATGTATCTTCAATAGAAGAAATATTTCAGATTTAAGGAGGCAGGGGATTGCCGGTATCAGAGATAAAATCAGCGAGAAATTGGCCACCAAAGTTTGGTGACTTCCAAAGTTTGAGAGTCCTTGGAAACTGTAAATTTACATTTTTTGGCCTTTATTTAACATTCAGTAAAATTCACACAGCAATGTGTTATTAAATGGACATAAAAGGTGTTGAGCCAAAAATAAAAATTTGATAAAAATTGTCAAATAGGAACAAAAATATTGTTTTCTTCTATTTCATTACTTTGATGAGCCACTGATTTCACTTCGATGCCTCACATATACTTTTTGATTGTTACTTAGCTATAAAATATTTTAATATTTTAAACACAATTAAAACGCCCCCACCCCCACACAAACCAATTTATGACCTTATTCATGCCACATTTCGTATCATCCACATAACTGGTGAAGGACTTACAAAACTGAACATACTTATGAAGGAAGGAGAAAAATATTGAAGAATAAAAGCAACTTAAAATAGGTCTTCGTAAGCACAGTAAAACTTAACAATAAGTTTGTCAGTGGATCATTCCTTCCATTCCTTGCTTTTTTCTGTTTGTTCTAATTGTCACCCTTACTGGAGTGAATCAAAACTTTACATCAGACAGATTTACAAAAAGAATAAAATCCTAGAGAACTACGACCTGGAACGAATTCGATAGTGGATTCGAGAGACTGAATGGGTTTCAAGGAGCTAAATAACTCCTTAATAATAAATAATAATAATAATGGATTGCATTTATATAGCGCATATCCACTTATGCAATGCTCTATGCGCTTAACATGAAACATATTATGGATTTACAAATCAATTTTAAAGGTACATAGTGTTACATACTCATGCAAACACATATTCACTCACGCACGCACCACACACACATACATACACACATACGTACATATGCACATACGCACATACAAACTCACAACGATCTACAGCTTGGATGCATTCTGTCTAATCGAAATATGATGAAAATATAAATGATTTTAGTTTCTTCTTAAAAATTTCTAGATTTTCTGCTTCTCTGATAGTTTTTGGAAATCTATTCCAAACAAGTGGGGCAAAATATGAAAAAGAGCGTTGGCCATATGATTTGTAATTTATTTTAGGCTTAACAAGGGTTGTTTTGTCACTTGATGATCTGAGCGTTCTAGGAGGCACATAGGGTGTTAAAAGCTGTTTTAGATAGTCTGGTGATAAATCATTTAAGCACTTGTAGCAAGTTAAACAGATTTTATATATGATACGCTCTTTCACTGGGAGCCAATGTAATGCTTTTAAAATAGGAGTCACATGATCATGCTTTAGTTTTTTAGTAATTATTTTGGCAGCAATATTTTGTACTCTTTGTAGTTGTTGTAACTGTTCATCAGGTACACCAGCCAGTAAGGAATTGCAATAATCAATCCTTGACAATATAAGTGATGTTATTAAAGTTTTGGTGACACCAACAGATAGATATTTTCTAATGCTCCCTAATAGAAAAGGAAAGTCCAACCTCACCTTTTCACTGGCATAAGATAAGTTTAAAATATAAAGACTTCATAAACTTTACGCATTTTATACGAATTTAAGAGAATTTTCACACAGCACAGACTTTTAATTGAGTATCTCTGTGTTTGTACTGAGAGGAATCACAACCAGTCATGCCTGCCCCCGACAGGCAGGAACAAAGCAGATTGCCTCCTAAATAATTCAAATAGCGTTAAAAGAAGTGTAAAACATTTAAAAGAGGAATAAAAGAAAAGTAAAAGAAAACATAATTCGAAAATGTAAAATATTTTTTAAAATGATAAAGAAAAGGAAGCTAACGATGATAATCTGAACCTATCTGCCACCTACCTCCTGTGCAGACAAAACCTCCCGGATAAAATTCAGGCACTGGGGTTCCTTGAGTATCCCGTAGATAAAGCCACCACCCCCTGCTCCTGCACTGCACATGCCAAACACGTAAGGTTTAAGCACTCTCATGATGTGGGCGATAGTGGCCGACTCACAGCCAGGAGCCAAGCGCTTCTTCATCTCCCAATACTTGCCAACACATTTGCCCACTACTTCAAAATCTCCTGCAAACAGAAAAGGAGTCAAGAGTTTTAATACTTATAGGTGCTACTGTTGAATTTGTAGTTAACAGTGATTCAGAATGTTAAAGGTCACATTTTGGCAGGAACAGAATTATAGTGACAATGAAGAGAAATATATGGATCAGGTCACATAGGAGAATCTTTCAATCAGCAACTTCAAAACTGGTGGAATTTTCGGATCTGACAGAAGTCAATACAAAATGATATTTTACAGATATCACAAGCAAAAACAGGAAACAAACAATCACATGAGTAACATATGGTAAAAATCACACCAAAAAACCCCCACAAAACAAAAACAAAAAATGTGTAGGAAGCATAGTAAAGGCTGTAACAGTTAACTGATGATGCATTGAGTTCTGAGAAGAGACAAAGAGGTCACAGCATAGCATTATGTTAGAGAAGTATACAGCTCACAAACATCTTGAACATAAAATAGAATCTGACTATGTTTCAATGGAAATATGAGCCAAAAGCTAAATTGTAGACATGGCAATCATTTCTATTTGAACTAACTGCATTAGATTTTTGTGAAAAAAAAAGACCCAAAATACAAAGAACACTTTAATAACACCAACCAGAATATAATCAAACGCCTGTGTAACGAAAAAAATAAAAATAAAGGTCAATCCTTTAGCAAACATCATAAAATAGAAGACGGTTACTTTAGAGATAGTTCAAAGATCTATACAATGGAAAAAGTACTTCATATGTACCGTCAATAAATCCATGAGCACATTCTTGAGCCAGCTTCACCAAGGCATCTTCTGTGTTCACAATGTGTGGGTTCCTGGCATACCAGTTCCTCACCACATCCTTTCGAAAACAAACAAGAAAATGAAAGTCGATAAACAGGGACCTCTCAGTGTTAAAACAACAGCACATCTGTTCAGCAGTAATGCACTACCTCACCAGTTGCTATGGAGACTTTACATCATCAGAATTGTAACAATCTTCAGTCAAACCTACTCTAATAGCCACCTGTAAGACAGTCATTTGTACAAACGTCCACTTCTCATTTCCCCCTTGTGGTTTTTTTTTTTTTACATCATAATGACAGAGTGAAAGACAATGGGTGGCCGTCTTAGACAAGGTCAACTGTATCTGTTTGATGAAAACATTATAGCAGCTATGATCTTATCACAAACAGAAAGAGAAGAAAATACTTTCAGTCTGATGTGACCAAAAGCCCACTCGGACAATGATGATACATAAAACAGAACAGATTGAGGCATAAAAATCCCATAAGACCTATAACAAAAATATTACTAACTCAGTAATGAACAGAATAAACGAAAATGGGAATGGAATAGTATGATTCATTCTTTTCAACTTTGACCAAGTCTTAAATCATGCAGCCTCTTAGAGCAAAAAAACCCAAGTCACTCTGCAGTTACTGATATGTATCCATTGGTAGGTTATTCTTTTAATCATGCACAGATTACTGTTTCACTAACGAGCTAAATTGTGACAATATATCACACCTGCAATAGATTTCTTGCAAGACGAGTCTTGCCAGTGTAGATGAGCACAAGGCGGTCATTGAAGCGCTCTATGAAGTCAGCGCTGATCTTCAAGTCCACCCAATCAACACGCAAGGGAAGTTTTGCCTCAGACAAGCCGAGACGAACACCTCCGACAAGTCCTCCAATCTGGTCCTGCCATCCGCCACCGGTTGTCAGCAACTGCTCAAGGTACAAAACCTGAGAACAAATTTGACAATGTCAGCTACAAACTTTTTTTTTTTTAAGGGGCAAAGGTAATTCCTAGTACACTAACTTATAATTTAATTTGTCATTCAACATGAGAAGGCTTATAAGCAATTAGTTCCATTTTGCTTCTTCTAGTATGCCTTTGTGGCCTATCCAAGATCCTTCTTCAGGGAACTGTGCAGAGAAGAAGGCAAAGAAAGAGGTGGACCAACAACATTTTTGGAGTGGACAGGAAAATCCTTTGCCCAAACTCAGGCACGCACAAAAAAACTGTGAAAAGTGGAGGAACCTGACGACGCTCTCTATCATACAGATTATGATCGTAATGGAATATGGGATCAGTAAGTAAGCAGTATGTTTTCCTTACTAGATCACAGGGAAGGAGGCAGCAAGTTCTTCGACATGCTAAGCACCTTATTTTAATGCAACATAGCTTTTTTTTTATCAAAGCCTAGATGCCTTTGCTGCTGAGACAGCAACATTACACTTTGGAACATTATATTTAAGAAACGACAAAGGATCCTTTGTGAAAGGAAATAATTTGGACCTTGAACAGACAGTCAACCAGAGCAGGCCTGCAGTACTGCCACTTCCAACTATAAAAGTGTCGCACAGAATAAAGCCTTTGTAGTTGAGACCAATGTTGTGATGCTGCATTATACTCTTTGTATGTTGCCTAAATATGTTGTCTGGTATGTATGTTCCTGAAAATTTCACAGCCAGTACCAATTTCTTAACAGGCTAATTTGATCATGTGACAAACATTGAAAAAAGTGAGAAAAGTACAGTATAAGTCAAGGTAAACAAAAACAGATATAGGTGAAGTTGACAAAATACAAGTAAAATGTTGAAGATGTACCAACCCTGATTATGTATACTTCTCATGTCAACCTCCAGGAGAACAAAAAAAAACCCAACCCCTCTCCCCACAAACAGAAACAAAGAAACAATTTTACCCCCCCGCTCTTCAATACAAACGTATCCCTCTTTTCCACTCTCACCCCCCCCCCGAAATGGAAGAATAGTGAGGGAGCAGAAGAAGGGCCCCCAGAGGAGCCACTGTGTGAGAGCTTACAGAGTGAATGAGGCCATTGGTGTCCACACTTTTGCCAGCAGCACCGAGCAGAGCAGCAAGCACAGCCCCGGCCAGGATAGAGCTGGTTCCCAAGCCTGGAGGGTGATCAGAGATCATAAAGTGTTTTAGACAATAACATTTTAATCAAATCTTTAAAAATTCAAAGCACATAAAAAGATTTTCTTGCTGTTGTAGCTAATCCAGCCCAGATCCGAATAATCATCCCAGAGTCATGTTGCAGCAGGTGAAAGTCTCACTAAGTTATTATGTATGGTGTTGTGTGGTTTGGGGTTGGAAGGAAGAAAGTGTAACTGGAAGGTGTAACTGGAGGTCCTGCAGGATGAGACAAAGGAAAACTGCATCCTGACAATCTTAACAGACATATTAAAATCAAAATCTCATCCACCGTCTACAAGGTGATACTGAGCTACATGGTAACCGCACAATGATTATCAACAATAACAACAAATTAAAAGCATCTAGTGAGAGAGACATTCATTCTTTGCATTAGCTAATGCCTCTTCACCAGAAAATGCCACGCCCCGGATGAATAAAGTTCTTTTGAAGATGGATAAAGAATGGGGGTAAATGGATGGATAAAAACCTGTGTGTAATTAATAGTCAGTGATAAATAATACTGGAAAAGGAAAACTTAAGTAAGTTACAAAGAGTCTACTTTGCCCCCCAAAAAACCCAAAACAATGTTGGTATTTACTTTGAAAATTACAAGTACAAAGTTTAATTTTTTTAAAAATCCAATATACAGAGCATTTGAAGTCCACTGTAAGTTTTCATCACATAGCTATGCAAATTGTCTTCACAGCTTAATTTTGGTTTTGAGCAATAATCCATTAACACAGAGATTGTTAGATAAAAGAAAGTGCAGATCAATCTGAGCAATACACAGAGAGAGTTTTAAAAACCCAGTTAAAATTACTCTTTATATGCCATGACAAACCTGAGCCACGAGGGAGGTTGGACCAAGATTCTAACTCAAAGCCACATCCAAAGTTCTCCATCAACTGCTGGGACAAAGAGGTCTGGCTTTTCAGGTCGACCAAGTCCACACACACAAACGCAGCTTTGAGCAGCGAGCCAGGGGCCAGAGGCTGACAGTAGTCCTCCATGTCCTTAAGGGTGTGACAGACCACCTCTGTGTTAGCCGCTCCCTCGTTAACAATGGTCAGGCGTATGAGTGGTCTGTAGTAAAAATTAAAAAACCCATGACAGTCAGGGGGGTTTGTTTTTCTGAGTCCTACACATCTCTCTCACTTCAATGATGACATAGACTTCCAAGAAAACAGGACACATCGTAAAAAATTGATATGCAGGTATTGTTGCTGTTACTGAACAAACCATGAGCGGTAGTTTGCTCTTCCTTCAGGTGTGTAGAGATTAGTGCACATAATTTTGTGTGGAATATTTTAATAAATTTGACTGCTGATCAAAATGATCTTTACAAAAAATCATACTAATGATACTTCTTGAGTAAAAAAGACAACAAGATCAGAGTATACAAAAAGAAATTGAAAAACCACAAAATAAACATCTCTTAGTCAATATGTACTTACAGACAAATCCATATATAGAAAAACCTTTTCGCAGATTAAAGACAAATATACAATAAAAAGGAAAATAGAGGGTCCTACCAAGGGCTGATGAACAAAAGCTGAAGCTAACTTCTTACTACTAATTTGAAGGATAATAAAACATAAATAATAAATAGTATTTGCATAGCGCATATTCTTTCTCAATTGAAAGTAAGATCTATGCACTTTACAATCTTTATTAAAAGCATTACTTTAAGCCTCCCCCCCCACAAAAAAATCTTTAAGAATAAATGTTAAAATAACGTAATAAAAATTAAAGAAAACTATCTCACAGAGCACACAGCTGATATCAATGCAAAAACTGAAAAAAAAACCACTTTTTTTTCATATTTGATAAAGTTTTGCATCAACTCAGTTAAATGCCTTGTCTGCTTACTCAGGTATTCTTCTTGCTTTGGCACCAATTGGTCTCTGAAAGAGCAAAACAATAAAATAGAATAATGAAAACAAACGGTGTTTTAATAGCGAAATACACAATTTTCTGATACATTCACACCAGAGTCCAGTATACCAAACTCTGTTAAAAAAACAAAAATTCTTTTATCACAGTGTCACCGAGCTGAAATAGAATAATGTAACAGAAAGTCTTAGAAATTAGACGTAAGTAAGTACAGGGTAAGGCAAAGAAATAAAATCCATTAGGGAAACCCTTTACTAACACAGGTGCGACTCAGTATAATTTTAGTAAGAGTTTTATGGTACTTGCAACACAGTAGGGTCATATAAGTGCCGAAGAATAGAGTTGTTACAAGAGAGTAACAAACATAAAAAAGAAGGAGGAGAGATCAGGACAATATAGAGGTTTGATAGGAAAGAAAGAGCAAACCACACCAGAGCACCCGCCAACCATCCACAGGTGCAACTCAGTTCTAAAGAAAGATCTAAATATTACAGAGGAAGGCAAAGTCAGAATGTATCCTCAATCAGGAATCCCAAACTTTTATTTTTTCAGTTGCCCTATTTCAAAATTTTTTTTCAAATATAAGAGACACCTTTCTGTGAAGTTATCCCTGTATTGTAAAGTTTCTGTTTCCAAAAGAGACACTTTGCAGTTTTCAGGAAAGCTATTTCTTTTTCAGAACAATGAACAGAATTTGACATCCCAATTTTATTACAGTCTTCTTTTTTCTTCAGTATGACTATAACACACACGTTTGTAACTCCCCAGCCCACTGTAAGGAAAATCTGCAGCAAAAGGGAAACATAGCAAGTGACTCAACCAATATTTCCTTATTATATTTATCAATTTTTCTGACCAGCGTCCCAAACAAACCTTTCCATTGATGAGTAGGCCCACCATGGTAACAGCTCCACCGTGCTCATATGTGATAGGTGGTGTGTCCGACCAGCCTCCTGAGATGTCAATCCGAGCCGGGCAGTCAGCCTGCACCCACTTGTTCATCAACGGGAGGGTCCCTTGCTCCACTGTGAAGAACTAGAGAACAAAGAAAAATAGAAGGCTAAAATGTAAATAAAATAGAGTATGCATTGGCAGAATTTCAATGTAATCTAGAAATTCAAAGTAAAGAGGCAATCCTGACATACAATTAGAGCTGAACATTGATAATTTCCTAGCACTCACCGCAAACCAGCATTTTTTGACAAAGTTCTCATCATCACATAAAAATATAACGCAGCACAGCACACACATCATCGTTTATTGCAACAGGGCAATGACTTTAACATCTACAACTTTTAACTTGTGAACCAGACATGTCCCACGAGAGTCAAAGTCTTTTTGTGCTTCCATTTAACAATAAAAAGAAAGATCTTGGTACTCAATTTTTGAAACAATATTCAAAACTTGTTTCAGGACACTTTTCTGGAGAAAAAAAAAATCAGATTTAAAGAGGGGGTAGTTTGTATCATAAGTGCTTCCACCAGCTGATGCTGAAAAGTAAGGAAAATTCTGCTGGAAATTGAAATTTAGTGCTTTTAGAGGGTTGACAATGGCATTTTGGAGCCTGTTTGAAGATATTGCCTTCAGCCCATAACATTTATTTTTTCACCAACATTTTCTCTTGTTTGATTACTTCATCAACATATCTTTCCAAGGCCGGTAATGTTTAAAAGCAGGTTCCCCTTTCATTGCTACTATAATTAAATTAATTTGTCGTTGCACCATTGATAGCAGGCAAACCTGGGAACAATGAATAGATGTACCTTCAAAATACAGTTGCGCAGCATATACCAACATTTTTTCTCAATTTTCACGTCTGAATGTCGCCTGTCACAACCTCGGAATACCACTTTGAATTATTCTCGATTTTACCTATGGCTGGATCGAGCGGATCGCCCAACTCGATCGCCTGAAACTGAAAACAAACATGTTTGTTTTTGAGGTGACCGAGTCGGGCCATCAGCGCGATTGGCCGATCCCATCCGTAGTGGGTACGCCCGTATCAGCATATATAATTTCTTTCATCGCGGCCCTTATATTGCGTTCACATGCCATACAATCTTCACATTGATAATTTATCTAGATCTAGATCTGGACAAATTTGTGAAAAATTTTTCTTTCTGACAGTAATTTTCTGTCTAAGATCACAAGTCAATTTACTTGATCAACGCGCAGATTTTCGAGCCGGGGCAACAATCCGAAGATAGACAGAGGGAATGAGTGAAGATATAAAGGAGGAAATTGGCACAAAAGGTTCGCCAGATTTTCATCCATCTGCAGGTAGAAAATGTACTGCCAACCAACCCGCAATGAACGCATGGTACTGCGACATAGCCGTATAATGACCGATTGCAGGAAATGCACAATTTGGCAGGTTTCTAAAATTTTAACTTGTTGCCGACAGAATTACCATAAATATCTGTAACTTATACAAGACGATACGAAGGCGAGTACGGAATTTCGGCAGTCCTGCTCTGTCGCAGTTTTTTTTTTACAGAGGGAGTTAATAATGATGGAGGGACAAGTACGGAACTGGCAGAAAGTACGGATTTCCGTAAAAATACGGAATAGTGTCATATTACATTCTCAAAGGTACAGATTTTGTTCTAAGAATTCACATCAATATTGTTGAAAGGACTTATTGTGTCAACACTCAAAGACTGAACGAAAGTGTGAGATAGGGAGTGCAACTTTTAAATATGATCAAGCTCACCTCTTTAGCCGTCATCACTGCCTGTCTTATAAGAATCTGAGCTGCGCCCTCATAGTGTCTGGCTGCTCTGATCAGAAGGTCCGGCCGTCCCATCCACTTTTGGCGCTGATGTGCCATGGCTGCCACACCCTCGGAGAAATTTCCAGCCTGAAAATGAAAAATAACCTTTACAGCCAAAGGCAAAGATATTTCCCTCTTAAGTTCTCATTTCCCCATGCACCTGTCGGGAATATCTCCCGCAGAGTGACGGTCACCTTAAACTCAGTTGGGTATTTCTACCCTTATCTATTCAATTGTTTCTGAAAAAAATTCCATAAGGCATCATTTGAAAATTCGAACAATAGCTATACAGACATTTTTTTAATGCTTGCAAAAAATTATGGACACAATCAGTACTGGCTGAGCCTGTGGGGTCAAGGACTCCAATATTACCGGGCCCAAGAGGTGAGGACTAAAAATAGCCAAGTGCTGTAAAGGTTAAAGACAGATCTATCACTGGGTACTTAAACCTCTATTAAACAACAACAACAACAAAAAAAGAACAATTAATCTTTGTTTGTTATAGTAGAGGTTTTACGGCGCTCATAATTGCATAAGGTCGTATGAGCTCCAGAAGATTAGACGTGTTAAAAGAGAGTAACAAACATAAAAAAGAAGAAGGGAAGATAAGGACGATAGATGTTTCATAGAAAAGAAGAAGCAAACCACACAAGAACACCCGCCAACTACCAACAAGTAATCTTTATCGTTTTTCTGCTTTACCAAATTTGATTGAGTTAACCAAAAAGCACAAGAACATAATAATGACCCTTTACCCCTGCAGAAAAACAAAGACAGACACAAAAGTACACATATGTTTGTGTTCAATGAACACATCATAATGATAGAAGTAACACGGTTCAGTGTAAAAATCGAGTCTGGATTGAAATCACAAATGAATAAAAAGTAACAGGGAAAATCAGAGGTGTTCTCCAACCACCAACAGCTGTAAAAGAATTACACACAGAAAAGAAATAGTAATCTACAAGTGAACCCTTTCAAGTGCTTTGCACATTTTTTCTACCAGTTATGACTCACTTTACTTTTTACTTGGTCATCCTCTATTGCAACTGCTTTATTGAGGTAAAATGCAGTTTTTTACGGTTGGCCAACTCTACAATTCTCATTCCAATTAAGACTATTTATGGATATTTAGATCATTTAAGCTAAACATACTGACCTCAAGAAATGCAAAAGCCTTTCTCCAATCCACATTGCTGGCGGGTCCACTTCTCAGTCCACCACGGGTACCTGCCATCCCACCCAACATGTCTGCTATGTTGGCCAAGGTACGGGCCGCAACACCTGGTGAGGATGTCTCACTGGCCACTGCAGGAGTTTGATTAGAGTAAAGAGCACAGGTCATTAATTGCAGGAGAAAGAGTAAGCTAGACAGAAAAAACAAAACAAGGGGAAGTGAAGAAGTAAGACCTACAAATGGTGCCCTCTACCCATCCACAAAGTTTGTAATGAACAGATAGTGGGAGGTTGGTGGGTGCTCTGGCATGTTTTGCTTCTTCTTTCCAATCAAACATCTATCACCTTTATCTCCCCTTCTTCTTTATTATGTTTGTTACACTCTTGTAACATCTCTAATCTTCTCTAATTTTGTTGCTGATTTTGCACAAGGGTGACAATAAAACTAAATGTATCAGACGAGGAATACCGAGTGCCATGCTAAAACAAACACACGGGTCGCCAGCACTCAGAGAATGAGCGACAAGTTCATGTTGACGTCCTTGTTACAAACTGGGTAAAAAGTGACCACTCATCTCACTTACCATTTGTTTACGAGTTCTGGGCAGGGCTTATGGGTTATGAAGGATCACACGCTTACCTCACCAGCAGCTGAAAATTGGTAGCTATTGGTCAACAGTGGGAGAGGCCTACGCAACATGACCGGTTGGAGGGACTACCTAACAACAACGACAGGTGATTGAATTATGACGGCTCGCCCACAACGCCAGGGGCCAATGCACAATTTATGACAAAACGTAATGGAGTCACTAAGATGGCCGTCTAAGACAGGTGTTATTGCTTAGTGTGATAGGGGTTGTGTGTTAAAATATGGTGGCCGCGGCCGCGTTGGACAGGTGCCCGTTTTACACAGTTAAATTATATAGAAAAAACGCAAGGGGGGAAATGGAAAGTGGCCGTTTGTAAAGGTGGCAGTCTTATAGAGGTAGCCGTCAGGGCAGGTTTGACTGTACTTATTTACAACATAGACTGGTGCATAATGGGCATAAGGTGGAAAGAATAGGTCAAAAGGTACTGAAGTACAAATAAATGAAAAAAACTTCAGAAGAGAAGTGCCCTCAAAGGAGACAGTATGTAGAAGAATATAGAGTACAACTTCGTTGGTTTTTTAAAATGTTTTAATATCTTTTGTAAAGCATCATTTAAATCTTATTGCACATAAAATCAATACTGTCCTTTTTTAAACATCCTCAGATTCTGCTAAAGCAAAAGAATGCTGCTATTATTACAAATGTGACTGATAGTCAAGAAGACTGAAAATGTATGACATATATTTATACAGTCTAGTAGAAGAGCCAGTGTAGTAAAACACAGAGCGTTACCTTTGTCCAAAGTCTGCAGAAGGGAGTCTGCGTAGCCTTCCACACTTGCACTGTTGTGAAGGCAACAGAACCCTTTGTTTCCCTGAGTATTTAGGGTCTTTTCTAGATCTATTGCTCCAATCTTGAAAAACAGGTCTCTGAGGGGTTTTTTAAAAAGAGAAAAGACTATAAGATATTTAAAAAAATAAAATTCCAAACTTGTAATAATAATAGATAGCATTTGTATAGTGCAAATCTTCGCTCAACAGCAGGCTCTAAGCACTTCACAATCTATACTATTACCACAGCAGACCTTGTCTTACCACAAACTTATCAAACTCTGTATCAAATCACACAGGTAGAAAATGTCTGTGCATGGAGACATCCACAGCCAAGACAAACCACAACCAGTTCAGAATACAAGATACTGGTACAAATCTAACAGATCTTGTACTTTGAATTAACAAACTGATCAGGCTTCTTTCCTACAAAGAAATTTTAAGAAGGAGTGGGAAAAGTGAAGCTGATTTACAACAATACTTTTAACAAACACCTTAACTCATCAAGTGCATGAGATCTTTAATCAAAAAGCAATACTCAATACCAACAGAAAGTTTTTTTAAACAATCATAACCAAGATTTAAAACCAAGACATCTACATTTCCAGTCAACCAGATACGTGAAAAAGTGGAAACAGCTTGGCTGTGTGGATCGTCTGTTGATCATAAATATATAATTATATAAATTACATCTATATACACAAAAATTAGTAAATTTAGAATCAATTATATACTTTTATGATATCTTCATTGATGCAAAAAGAACACATTTCCCAATTTTCAAAACACCAGAAGTCATATTATTATTTTACTAACCTTTTCCACTGGAACTCAGCTCCAATGTCCGTACATTTGAGAATGTCGGACAAAGAAATTCTCCAAGATTCACGCCACCTAAGAAAAATTATATATGTAACGATTTGAAAACAAAAGGGACAAAAAAAAAAAAAAAAAAAATTTAAAAAAATAGGAGCTTAACCCTCCATTTAAATAGTTTGGTGGGTGGTTGGCGGGTGCTCTGGTGTGGTTTGCTCCTTTCCTATAAAAAATCTATTGTCCTTATCTGCCCTCCTTCTTTTTAATGTTTGTTACTCTCTTGTAACTCCTCTAATCTTCGGCACTTTTATCACCTTATTGTGTTGCAAGTGCCGTAAAACTGTTACAAGAACTAAAAGAAATAGTTTGAATTTTCTAACAGATCATATAAACTTTTGCAAAAGCAAAAAAAGCACTCTCTTTCTATCTCTCTCCCCCATTCCTACTCTCTTTTTCACTTGCTGTGTCTCTCTCTCCCTCTCACTCTTTCTAACTCTCTTTTCTCATCCATAGTCTCTCTCTCTTTTTCTATCTCTTTCCTTAAATCTGTCTGTCTGTCTCTTTCCCACTTCCACACTCTCTCTCTTTCTCTCTTTTAATCCCCCCCCCCCCTCAGTCTGACTGTCTGAGAGTCTGTCTGTCTCTCTCCTGCTTCCAAACTGTTACAAGACAAATCATACACCTCTTCAGAATGCTCTTCTCTTTATCATCCTCCACAGTGCCTAGGAGCCACAGCGTCTCTGTGATACCCACGTGCTGAGATACGTGAAAAAGTGGAAACAGCTTGGCTGTGTGGATCGTCTGTTGATCATTTTCCTGGTGAGATAAAGTTGACAAAATGAGGTTTTAAGTCACTCACCCCTGTACACATCAAGAATGTATTGTTCTTGTGCATGAAGAAGAAGGAGGAGGAGGACAAGAAGGAGAAGAAGGAGAAGAAAAAAAATTTCCAGTATCCTCCTTTGAATTATAGATTGGTAAGTATTCCAGAAAGAGTGGTATCATCCAGATTTGTTCACTGCACATTACAGGAAAGAGGCAAAGCAGATTATCGAAGAAAAAAAAAAGGAAACCAAAAAGTACAAAACTAGAAAAGATGTTGGAAACTGTCCATTATCAAGTCATTTACTTAGGAGACTATAGATTAAAAAATCTATCCAAAAAGTAGTTGTTAATTCCTATATTATGTTTGTTACCTTTGTGACCATTGGGTAGGAAGCCTCAAAGGGACATCTATCCAACAAAGGAAGTCAACAAGAAGAATGTCCTGCTGGCCACATCCCACATCCAACAAAAATTATCCAACCTCTCTCTTTCTCTCTCTTGCTTTCTCTTTCTGTGTGTGTCCTGTTTTCTCCTTCACTTTCAATCTCCCTCACACTCTTCCTCTTCCTAGTTCTCCATCTCTGCCTTTGTAATGAGATGATAAGTGCTATCTAATCCTAGATTCTACTCGTTAGTCTATCTACGTTGGTTCAATACTCACTGTTTCGAGCGGGGAATGAGTGTGGGTTGTACAGGTCGGGAGCTCCATCCACTGTGTCGACCCACCAGTGGTGTCGATCCCTGTTCAGCCTAGATTTAAGTCGTGGCTCGGACGGCCGGTTTAACCTTCGCGTCTGTTTATATACCCCTCGTGCTCCCTTACTCTCGAACACTCACTAGGCTACACTGAGTTTGTTCACTAATTTCACGTGATTCTGGCTTGTCTGATGATCACAGTGAATTATAGACCACATGCCCCCTTGATCTCATTGATCAATACAATAAAAACCAACACCCCACATAAAGAGAATACATGAGTCACCCCAGTTTAACCCATCATGATAATACTAAACACAAAACAAGGGGAGGATATTCAAGAAAGTCCTGACGTCCCGTCCCAAACCAATCTCTCTTTATCCCCCCCCCATTCCCCCCTCCGCATTACGGTTATCCCAGGACATAATCGTCCTGCCACAACGGGGCCCTCCTTGCCCGTTGCGGGAAACGCCTGTCAATCTCTCGGCACTCTTCAGGTTCACCACCCCGTTTACCTTCGTTTGAAGCGTCATCTTCCGTTTCTGCGGTTCCCCCTCACCCCTGATAGGTCTAAGGTCTAAGACATGCCGTGGAATAAGATCAACATCTACGTTGTTTGCGGACTTCACCTTCGTGACAACCCAGCGGCCCCACTCTGATGTGCATTTTGCATAACCCTCACTTTCTCCGATCCCGTCTCTCTCTGGCTCCTCCTCACTCTCTCCCCTGAGTTTGCGTACATCTATGGAATCCTGGCCACTAGCCCTCGACGTAGAATCCCAGCAGCTCACCTTGTGCGCTTCTTGGGCGGCAACCGCCAACTTTTTGATTGATTCTCCGTCTGTCGCCGTTTCTAGTCCGTCCGTCGCCCCTTGCTCATGCCCGACAGTTTCCTGCTGACCTTGAGAGGCCGCCGCGACCTCCCTCAGTCTCGCTTCCTCCTCCCTCAGCCTCTGCTGCACCCTTCTCTCTATCTCTTTCTCCAGATCGACTTCTTCCAACCACTGACTTTTTCTACCTTTTTCAACCTCTTCACCACCAAAGTCATTCGAACCTTTCCTTCCTTTCTTGTCTCCTCTGTCATCATCGGGCATCCCTCCAGACTAGGCCGTTTCTATTTTTAACTTTTCTTATCATTTTCACCATTCTTCTTCTTCTTCTTATCCTCATCATCGTCTATGTCACTGCTATCTCTCCTCCTTCTTTTCTTGTCTTTATCTATGCTCTTACTCCTCTTCTTTTTTCTGTCCGTTCTCTTTGTCTTCCAGTCTGACTCCTCCTCCTCCTCCCCTCCTCTCCCGTCCTTAGAGGCCCTCTTGCTCTCTCCTCCCTTCGACTTCTCAGAACTGTCTTGTGCTACGCCGGGCTTCGTCTTCGCGTACTTCTGTCTCAGCCTCTCCTTCTCCTCCCTTTTCTTCCTCTCTAGAACCGCCAACTCGTTCAAGGAAAGTATCGGTCGATTTAGATTCGGGTCTTCCGGATAATTTGCGACCCCGCTCCCCCCGTTCCCGACTTGCCCCCTCCCCCCTCCTCATCCACTTCCTGTCGTCTCCTCAAGGATTTGACAGCGTCCCCACCGGCAGCCGCCCCCCACCAGACACACCGACTTCCTCAATCTGCTGCCTCGACTCAACAATTAACTTCTTGCTACCAGAAAACTCTCGTGACCTCTCTCTCTGCCGTCTCGACTCTACAAAAAACTTTGCATCCAAATCCTTATCATGAATGACAGTTCTACCCTTGGACATGTTTGTTCCTCTGCTGGCACCCCTACAACCAAACACGCCACCCGTTTTCCAAACTGGATCTTGTGTTGCCCCACCGTCACCCCTCCTAGCTGTCCAATTACATGCATGCCAATCAGCACATCTATGCCCCCGACTATGTGATCAATCACAGTTGCCCGTGTACTGACTTTTTTGCCATCTACCTCCATCTCAATCTGCGCCATCCCCTAGCATTCAACGGCTCTTCCATCAAATGCTGATGCCTGCACAGCATCTCCGGTCCATCTGTCGACCAACCTATCCCTGATCATGGTGTTTGAACACCCCGTGTCTATCAATGCGCGTCGATTGTGACCTTGCATGGTGACTGTGATCATTGGGACCTCTCTTACTCCTGTAATGCACACTGCGTCACTCCCAGGCCTCGAGCTTCCTCCTCCACGACTACCTTTACCAGCATGCACACAGTACGCCGCAATATGCCCTTCCCCACCACACCTGTAGCACACAAGTGACTTTTTCTTGCTTAAATTCTCGGGGCACTCTTTAGCAAAATGACCCCCCTCACAAATGAAACACTTCACCTGACTAGTGTTGTACTGCATCATCCCCCATCCCCCAGATTTTTTGTATCCCCTTGCCTGATCTACCGCTGCGGCTGCAAGCCCCCCACCCACTACTGCTCCCTTGTTTGCTGCGAGGACCCTAGCTCTACCAATAATGTCTGCAACTCTCATCGACTCCACCACTACCACCTGTTGCAGTTCCAAGACTATGCTGTCTGGAAAGCCGGTGACAAAAGCCAATTTCACCAGCTGCTTCAGCCCCTCTCCTGAGAACCCACAAGTTCTGCCTACCCTCCGCAACTCATTGGCGTATACGTCGACCGCTTCCCCGGACCACCTCGTCTCACGCAGTTTTGCGAAACCAACGAATTGGTTGTCGCAAAACGATTCCTTTAAGTTCTTCTTGATGAGTTTTACGCTCCCCTTCTGTTCTTCGCTCATCTCTAGATATACAGCTAGAGCTCCCCCCTCCAGGTACAATGGGATAAAACTGGCCAAATCTTCAATGTGAGTCAGTTTAGCCACCAATTCCGCCTTCTGCAACCAAGCCTCGACGTCCCCCTCCCCAGTAAACCGTTTGAGCACATCATACTTGATACTCGGGCCCATCGCCATTTTTTACCTGCTAGCCATCACTGCAAAACCCCTAGATCTGGACTACAACAACTAGATCTAAATCCAGGCCTAGATTCTAGGTCAAGCTTAGTCTAAGGTCTTAACGATCACGATATCCAGCCTGACCCCCACGCCACACATCAAATAAATCCGAACTAGCTAGTAATGAGATGATAAGTGCTATCTAATCCTAGATTCTACTCGTTAGTCTATCTACATAGGTTTCAATACTCACTGTTTCGAGCGGGGAACGGTGAGAGTGGGTCGTACAGGTCTGGAGCTCCATCCACTGTGTCGACTAACCAGTAGCATCGATCCCTGCTCAGCCTAGATTTAAGTCGCGGCTAGGAAGGCCGGTTTAACCTTCGCGTCTGTTTATATACCCTGTGTGCTCCCTTACTCTCCTACACTCACTAGGCTACACTGAGTTTGTTCACTTATTTCACGTGATTTTGGCTTGTCTGGTGATCACAGCGAATTATAAACCACATATCTGTGTTTCTGTCTGTGTGTCTGTCTGTGGTCTGTCTGTCTGTCTCTCTTTCTCCCTCTCTCTCTCTATCTATCTATATCTATTTACCTATCTATATCTATTTATCTATTATCTATTTATCTATCTATATATCTCTCTCCCTCAGTCTGTTTGTCCTCCTACTACAGTCCCATAAGACAATTCACTCACGGTGCCTGTGGGCCACAATTCCTCTCGCTCAATGCCAGTGCGACACAGAAGGATCAGCCACGGCTGGTTACAGAAGGTGCTTCGGCTTTTCCAAGTAGGGGCCTGTCACATAGGAGAAAAAAGAAAATATTACACATATTTCAACCTCTTAATTGCCAAACAGAGGAAGTGGTGAAATTTATTGGAGGGAAAGAAAGTTGAGCTACAAAAAGTCTTCTGATTTCAGTTTTTAAAATAATATGGCTACAAAGTGCTTCACATCATGATAGTCAACTAAAATCTTTTATATAATGATATAAAATGAGATACATTTGACTCTCCGAATATTCCAAGGCAAGGAGAAAGAAATGGGTTAAAATCCACTAAGATGTTGTTCAGCAGTACCTAAATAGTAAAGTCACTACGACTTAAACTTGGCATAAGGCCTCCTATAAAAAAAATCTCATGCTTCTAGTCAAAACAAGAATGCAAAAATATGCGTTGTTCCCCTCACCAGTCCAGTTACAAATTAAAGAGTTAATGAATTGAAAAAAATTTTCAATGCTGTAAAATTATTTCAGGTCTCTAAAGTGAAGTTCAACTTAAAAAGGACTGAGCCAAGAAAGAGAAGAGTTTTGGAAACTCCTTAAACAGCCAAAGTTCAAGAATGCTCTATTGAGGATTCAAACCAGGGTCACTGGCATGACAGTAGTCCACATGCAGCACTAGCAGCTAACCCTCTCTTCCTCTCAAAATCTCATGCACTTGTTATTATAATTAGGAAATATATAGTCTCTAATAATGAAAGATATACAAGCACATGGACAGTTCTGACTTCAGTTTTCTGCGTTGCTAGAAAGATGAAAGAAACTGCAAAGCTTTGTTAGATATGAGATATACAAAAACACACAAAGAGTTTCAACTTCAAATTTGTGCATTTTTAAAATGAAGAAACAAACTGTAAAAGACACATTTTGAGCTTCATAGACAACAACACCCGGAGAGTGATACAAACATTGGAAAACAGAGATAAACTCACCATAATGTCGTCGAGTTTGCCATGGACAGTGACAACATACTGCGACCTGTCCAAAGTCTTCAAATACACATTGTAGCCTTGAACCACCATACTGTCAGGGATGTTTATTTCTTGCAAAACTGTCTAAGAAAGAGTGAAAGACAGCAAAAAAATTGAAACTAATAACAATAATAATAATAATAATAAAAATAATACTGTAGAGCATTTGTACATCACAAATTTCCACTCAACAGCAATATCTATGTGCTTCATAATCTATATTATCACCCCAACAAATCTTATAGTATTCAGAAACGTTCCAAACTTCTTAAGAAGCCTACATATTGGGGTTGATGATAGATCAAATGAGAAATTGCAACAGCCAATGTACTAAATAAAATACTGCTGTTATTGATTCAGCATCAAGTAAAAGATTACTGAACCTACTTTTGTGTAACCGTTTCACAAGTATACACACACAAGGAGCAGGGTGTCCAGCAATATTTGCTGAAAAAATTTACTACCTGGAAAAAAAAATTACTACCCAGCAAATCAAGTCCCACACCAGTTCGAAAAAGGGAGTTCATTTGCGCCATCATTAACATATATTATCATTAGGCCTACATAATATATCATATGGAACGAAAATAACACGCAACAAAGTCATCCATTTTCCAGGGGCGTGTTACATAACAACACACACA